ATCCAGAAACTAAAGCTCAGGAGAAGGGAAAAAAAAAAAGAGAAAAAAAATCTAAACTCAAGGGAGAAAAAGACAGCCCAGAACACAATCTGTGCAGTATTAGATAAATCACTATTCTAAAGTTTGTTACTTGTAACCAAGAAACCCTAAACCCAATTCATTGGAAAAGCACAAGATTAGAAAGTAACTCCAAATCAAAACAGTAACAATTTGTAGTCTTGGTGAGAAAAACACATCACCCTGGAATACACAGGGACATAGTTGTCCTGAGGCTTTCTAAAAAAGGGCAGGCTTACTCTTGTGCACCCTTGTGCAAAAAGGATGCCTGACCCTTCTGCTCAAGGAAGCCATAAGGATCCCTCTGAATTCCTTCTCTATCATTTTCAGCCTCTGAGGATTTAGTTTCAAGGAGTTGGAGTAAATGCAAGTACAGCAATTCAGCTGTCATTTTCCAGCCACTGAGACCATACCGTGGAAATATGAAACAAGTGTATTCTGAAGTCTTGGAAATTAATCAGAATTTAGTTCCATCAGTGTTGTGCTACTCCCAACAAAAACTATTTCAATGAAGATTTATTTCTAGTAAATCCTATCAATCAGAAGGTCGTCTTAGTATTTAGTCTATTTGTTGAGGGGTGTGTTTTTTTTTTTTTTTTTAAAAAGTTTATTTGTTTGCTTCTTCCCTTAGAGCATCCTAGAAAATAGGTCTCCTTTTTGGTCTTTAACAGGTTTTAATCTAGCAGAGATTTAAATAGCAGGTGTGAGTTTGACCATCTTAAGGCCCATCTATCTAGTTTTAAATATTTTACATTCATCCCCAGAGACATGTGATACTTTAAGGTTTTACTTCTGAGCTCTACATGATGATATAATCATTTCTCAAACCTATTTTGTAATAGTGAGCAGTTGCTCAAGGCATTGCTACTTCTGCCAGAAGTTTACTACATTTAATATTTTTTTTTTTAGTGATCAATAAATAGCTATTCTGCTGTGCTAAGGAATAGACTAATTTTCAAAAAATTTTATCTCTCAATTAATAATACATTTACTAACGCCTGAAAGGAGGCTTAAGAACCATGGGAGTGAAGCACCGTCGCTTGCTTTACCTAAGCACATGGTGCCATACAAAAACCTACACTATGCTAGCAAGACCATAGCACCACTGATGCACTGCTTTTATTGGACAGAAGCGTTTCACTTCCTCAAATTTTAGAGCCGTCTAGAGGACTGCAGTTTCCATTAGTTTTCATGAGTATTAGTGTCTAAAGCTTCGGTTCTTTGGGAGGAAAAAGAAGTCTGCAAGTTTCCTCAATCAATCAAGACTGTCATCCACAAAGAGGCAACAGCCACTGTGAAATTAAACGCCTCCAAAGTAACTTTAGAACTTGTTGCAAGTTTGAAGAAACAAAGTGTTACACTCCCCTCTCAGAGCTACATGGAAACCAATTACATTAGCAATCTGAGATGATCCTCAGGACTGCTTTTGGCATCCACAAAGCAATCCTTTCACACTCCCTCACAAGGGGGAGGGCTAGTATCAGATTCAGACCAGCACTGCTCTCTTGCTTTTAAAAAGCTGATTTTTAAAAGGATCTAGGGCAAGAAAAAGAACAATTATTTTACTGCAGATTAACTGCTAGCGCTATTTTCTTAGCTGAAAGCAGCATAGCACAACTGTGACAGCTTTTTTAGCTATTGCTTCTATTCCTTGGAAAAGCTGCAATTCTCATTTCCAGTAATTAAATAAGTGAACCCAGAAACACATCCAGAAGAGCTGCTTTGCATCATTCATTTCCTGCATTTTAAACTCAAAACCTAGAAGTAGTTTGGAACTGTCATCTCAGTTGACCAAGACAGAATGTAAGACTGTAAAAGAGTCTAACCACTCTTACTTCAAAGGTGTACAATCATGAACAACTATCAGCTTGCCAAGAGCTTTTTTTTTTTTGGGGGGGGGGGGCAGGGGATTAAAATCTAAATTAAAAAAAAGAATTGGTTTAAAAATATCAAATTTGGGTGGATAAAAAAGACTGCAGAGAAATAGTCTGAGGATCACAACTCTCAGCATGACGACGTAATTGGACTGATGAGTTCCCCACTTAAATGAAGAGGCACTACTGCACCTGGTCTGTCCCATCTACACATCATTCATTACTAAAACCAAAACAAAGCCACAAGATGTTTTAGAAGCAACATTTGTGTCCACACATCCCCCCCAGCCAACCCAATTCTAACCAATCGCATGTTTACCGATGTCACTGTGCTTTGAGATGATTCTTCTTCTGTACAAACTGTCGACACAGCCAGGGAAGGCAGCCCGGATGAAGATAATGCTGATGTCTCCATGCCACTGTCCTCATTTAGAGTAGAAAGACCAACCATATGGTGTCCATTCAGTTCACTAGCTTTGCTCTGAGCACAGGTCTGCAAAGAGCTGAGAAAAGTGCCATTGCGGAGACAGGTAGTGCTGTGGAAAGTGCTCGTGAGCTTAGACGATTTTTGATCACTCTCATCGGAGTCAAGTTTAGGAAAGGACAGGGATTTGATATTGCTCACTGAAGTGATAGGGGACAGGGACACTTTGGAAGACAAGGACATCTTTTCACAGTTTCCCAACTGTGGTAAAGTGATAAAGCCATTGGGTTTGTGAAGGGGCTTGAAGTCCAACGTGGCCCTTTCTATGGATGCCAGAACTTCTTGATCTTGTAACACAGACTCAGGCCCTCCTTTGGGCAAACTACTGTCTAACAATTGGGCAACAATTGGCCCAGTAGTACCAACATGAATTTCAAGAATGTTTTTTAATTCCTCCTTATCATCGATAGTTTTTAATTCCAGTTTGTCAAACGGGTCTTCTTCACATTCAAAATCCGCTGGGTTGAAATCTGCTTTTGGACGAGGTGGACTAATAACCTTCTGCTTCACAGCACTGCTATCGGCTGGCGTGGGAGTAAGAATATTATTGTGCTGCAGACTAGCGAGGATAGGGTTAATAGGAGGAGGCATGGCCTCAGGACAAGGTCCCTCTGAGAACCCCATTTTATTGCTGTCCTCTGAAGCCACCTTCAAGTTTGCTATCACTTCTTTTGCCTTTCGTTCAGCTTCTCTCTGAGCAGCTTGAATTTTTTTGATATCTTCAGCCCACTCAATTGTTTTCTTTTCCAGTGAGAAGTCATACTGATGGGGGGGGAAAAAAAGAAAGAAGATAAACTGTAAGGATCATAGCCACTATTTCTAACAGCAACATACATAACAAGGAATAATAGCTATATGCATTACCAGGTGTTAGCCTGGGCAGGCATTTTTCTTTCTTTTCTCAGCATCTCTTTTAACCTCCAGACTGGCCGAACTAATAGACCTCAGAAGTGCTTCATTTTGCCTCTAGCAGATAGACCTAGGTATAGCTCAGACCAGTATGCCACGTTTTGCCTCCTTCCTACACCTAGTTTTGCTTTAGAGCTACCGACTATCACAAAAACAGCTTCATAACATCCACTCCCACAGATAACAGATGCAGTGAGTGGAAATCAAGTGTATTACTAGATGGACAGTCTTACCCAGAGCTTTGGCACCACTGAACTACCCACTATCCGCAGGTTCCAAGAGTCATTCAAGAATACAGCGGGGTAACTTCTGCATCAAAACCAAGGTGGAATTACTCAACTCCCCTTCAAAGATCCATAAGGGACTTCATATTATTGTTTTACACCCATTGGTTGAAGAGGTATCAGCGTTCTTCACCAATACCAATCACTAACACAATGAGTACCCGCACTAGCAGATTTTGCCACCATTACTAGCATGACGGCATCCCACATGCTTTTCTCATTTTAACATCTGCTCCTTCAAGGTCATATTAGCACAGAAAGACATTTATATAAGCTTCCCACTATCAGTTCAGTTCGCTGGCCAAGAGCTGACAGTGGCCTGTTTGAGAGGACAAGAGTCTGAACAAACTATTATCTATTTAAAGCTTTAACATCTTATAAAGAATGAACAGTCTGAGTGCCCTTTAAATAACCACAGCCTGTTCAGAGAACATAGCCTACAAGCTAAGTTCATGGCATAACCTACCTATGACTCACAAGAACTTCAAGTGCAACTCCCTTGCCAGGATAACGTCACATAATCAAAACGGGAGTGCTCTCGTCATGGGGCTGCTAGGTAATCAAAATTCCCAGCTCTGAAGAGGAGCTAGCCAGCAAGGTTTGTTAAGCACGTGATAGGCTTTCTTGGGACTCATTGCGTGTCCTGACACGTCTCAGCCTGTAGCGGGCTCCAGTGAGACCTTGCAGACCTGTTGTCTCAGCTGCATACTAAACATTTTCCCATCCCTCGCTCTAAGACTCTGAGAAACGTAATACACATACTTCATCAGCAAGACGATTTTGAAACATTGCAGTGGGACACTACCCATTACACATTCTTTGCTAGCTAAACTGAGCTATCATAGAGGTGTGCGGGCATGGCATGTAAACAGAGAGAGCTTCAGTCAATTTTGCTTCCCTGGACTGTTTTTTGTTTCTATTGCTACAGCTGTAAAAAAATGCTCCCACATCATACTGTGGGAGGCATAGTCTACATAGTCACAGCATTATATAAGATATTGCAGTCCGATTGGGCATACTATATTTGAGCCTTATAAGCTTGGCAAGGAAAGGTACAATTATTGAAGCTAGAAAAAGGACATTAAGAGTTCTCTTCAGCACTCCTGCACCAGCCTAACTACATGGAAATATGCATATCAGGATAACCAGTCAGGCAATGAATTAACAGTCACAGGGAATTTCAGAGACTCAGCTCTTCAGTGGACAAGCTGCAGGGCAGAACAAAGCAGAAGAGCTTACAGACATCTATCATAGCTGATGTGAAAACTACTGTCAGTTAGGACTAATCAAGGAGGATCACAGATCCAAGTGAAAAATACAGGTCAATTAATTTTCCTAACTGCAGCCAGCATTTGGATAATATATTTTCAGGAGTTATGCTTAAGCAATCGATTCTATGCTACCAAAAGTTTAGGGAAACTGATCCATGTTCCTCAAACACCTGCAAGCAACCTAATACGCTGCATCAGCTTTGCTATATGGCTGGAAAAGAACTCCCATTCAGAAAGGCACAGAACACAAGAACTGTAAATTTATTTCTTCATGCCTTTAGAGGGAAAATCCATAAAACATTGTCATAAAAACATAATATCCATTACCCTCAAACAGGATTTTGCAAATATGCCATTGCATGGGTATTTGAGTTTTCACAGTCTCTTTTCAAAAACGCTACTCAAATTTAGGAATGTCCCGAGTAACATTTAGATCTGTAACTACTGCACAAAAATATTGTGCTTTTTGAAGCAGATACACGGAAATAAGTGCTCTTGCACATTTTAAATTGATAAAATTATAATAAGCCACAAAAGTTTATATGCTTTCTCTTTCTACACATTCTAGCAGATCTTCTGTAACTATTCTCTGGCATAACAATTGGCACTACAGCACAGTTAACACTAACTTCTGACTATATATGCAAAACTAGACTTCTTACAACTTACAGCATCACATGCTGGCAACAGGGTGAGGGAGGAAGAGAGCAGAAAGGCAAAAAAACCCCAAACACCTAAACCCCCCCCCCCCCACCCCCCCCCCCCCCTTCTTACCTGGGCTTCTCTGACAAGCTGAGCAGAATCAGGCAGACAGAAACCAATGGGTAATCCAACCTTAGCTGGTGTTTTGAATTTATCTCCTATCTTAAATGGAACATCATCAAGATAACTGAAAGGCCCTAAAATCAAAAGCAGAAGTTACATCAGAAACTTGTTTAATGCATTCAATGAGACTCTCATTCCTGTATTTGGGATCTATTTTTATTTCTGCAAACCACCTTCTGGCTTACAAGGGGGAAGTAATGTTTGGTCCAAAGCAGTCATAACAGCAAAGAGGCCCAAAGCCTAGAAGCGCCACTTTAACCAAAACACAGTGAAATAGCTTAGGACTATTTAACTTAGCAATTCAGATTTCTGCAAAAAGACAATCTAACTTAACCAGCTATCTTGTTCCTGACCACTCCTATGAGCAGCCATAGATTTACTTCCTGGTTTTCTGTCCTTTGTGTCCATCACTTACATGCAGTATTTAAAGCGTTTTAAGATAAACTATTTCCTCGTTATTTCTTCAGGCTCTCTGCAAACTCAAAAGGCAGAATTACCAACAATTTAAGTATCTCCAATAAGCCAGGCCTCAGGTTTGTTTTCCCTTGAGGCTCTACGAAAAAGCATTAGAAAGCCCACTATACAAATAGCACTCCGTTTCTGAGTTTAACTCAAAGGAATCTGTTGGGTCACTGGTCAAAGCTTTCACAATTACAGGCAAGGTTTTGATTGTGTGTGTGTAACAGTTTGAAGTGCTCCTCAAGTACTAGTTTGTTGCTTTACTTTGAGTGTTACAGGTCCAACAAGGCATCAGTGGCAGTATCTTAGATGTTGTTCAGTGACTAATCTCTTGCTCAGTGAGCTGTGACTGTTGTTTTTATCTGACCCATTTTCATACTTAGACAACAGTTTAAGTACTATTTGTGTTCTTTTACTGTTGACTCATCTACAATAATGCAGCCACAAGCCCTAAGACGAAGAACAGCTTTCAAAAACAGGAACATCTTATTAGTTTGGAATTAAACACTCATGCGCTGTCACCAGTTGAGCTCACTGGTGACCAGCACCACTATTGCAATGCATCATCCAAACAAACTGTGTTGGAGCTGGCAATTGAAGAGTACTTGGAAAATTTCAAAGTGTTTGCTTATGCAGAAATAGCGGACATGGCAGCCTTTGCACTGGCACTGGTAAATCACAGCCCAGAGGTGACCAGATCTCCTCACTGCTGAGGAGTCCAGCTTAACTGCTGCTCCTATACCCTGCTTAGTCCCACTGACACTAGTCCCGATGTAACTGGGACTATCAAAGGACACGAGTGAAACAGGATCACCTCTCCTCACCAGTCTCAAAAGACAGTCTAAATGGCTTGGTACACAAAAGCTTATCTTTCTGTTAGACGTGCTGATACGATGAGAAAAGTGGTAGTTACCTCCCCTTACACAGCCTTCTTGTTTGCCTGAAGTAGACACTAACCACAGAGGGCACACACACACACACTGTGGTACTTACATAACAATGCTAAGTTTGCTTCGGTACAGTAAAAAATAAAAAAAACACACACAGAACCTCGGGAATAGATGAGCTGAACTGATCAGTTTTCTCCTTAGTCTATGTGCTGAGGTTAGAGACTTTCAATTTCTTCCCAGTAAAATGATTTTCTGATAGTGGCTACTACTATAACCTTGTCTCAAATGCAACACTGCTACAGAAGTAGTAAGCGTATTTTAAGAGATAGACCAAGTGTCTCAGGACATCAGATGGTAAAAAGCTTTTCTCAAGTGAGTAACGCTGATGCGCATAGTATCCATTTCATTCCAACCTAACCAGGAAAGTACTAGTCTAATTAAAAATCAAAATCTGATCCAGAAAGCAATGAATAATTTTTATTTTTATAAAAGGATGACGACCTTCCTGTCTGCACAAAAAATCTGATGGGCAAGGGCACAAGTTTTGCTTTATTGCTTTAGAGAATTTGCTGTTGAAACAACACCTACATATAAAGTACCATGCAAACCAGTGTTGTAATGGTCATTATGGTCAAACGAAGCAACTACAGCTCAAAAAACCCTCTGTCATTTAATATGGCTATTAGCTACTTCATCTTTTTATGGACTTAAAAGCATATTGCGGAAGTTCTGAGGACAGCCCTAGCAAAACCGTACCTGTCAAAATGATCTATGATACCACGCAATCTATGATGTTCCTGGCCCAAGGAACTACTAGGAGAGATTAAATTTCTCTCCACTTTAGCCTAATGCAGTAATCACTAGTCAACTAGTAGAAATGTTCTCGTTTGACAGTATGATGAAAAAGTTCAGATAGACAACTAACAATTATTACTAGGCAACAGTCTGAAACCAAGTAGTTGTTAATTTTTGTTGTCAATTTAAAAAGAAAAAAAAAACAAAACACACTTCATTTCCAGAAATGGAGATCAAAAGCTTTCAAGTTGTATATCAAGAGTGACAACGCAACAGCAGTATTGCACTACACTTGATATGCCCTTTGCACACACCAGATGAAAACTGCATTTCTAGACGCCACTAATTACTAGAACTGAAGCTTGAACTTCCTATTATTCAAGTGACAGGACAGCACTTGAAGCTATCTGCTTGGAGAAAGCTATAGATGATGTATGCCAAGATCACCCTTCAAGACAGGAGGAGGGTTCCTCCCTCTCCAGCCATAGCTCCCACCTTCACCTCAACAGTAGTCCTCTAAACTCCAATAAGTAGCTCAACAGTAAGTACAAGAAATACGTTAACTACGTCGACCCACTTTCATCAGCCTGTCAGGGACACTAAACTATAGGCAGCTATTGAGCTGCACACTTTACACTAAAATGAAATTCAGTTAGTGGGATTGATTCTTACAGACCCTGGAGAAGACCGAAAAAATTGCCCTGCTCATTTATAGAGACATAAGCCAAAGAAGTTGCTTCACTGCTCCTAACAAACACCGCTAGTGACAGCATTGCTGATATCATTAGGAACAGAAGGTACACAACAGGGTAGTTCAAGTTAACCAGTGAGGTTAGAGTATCATTTCTTTTGATCTTATTTTGATGCTGGGGTCATGTTTCTACCACACTGCACCAGTCTAAGAAACATTTAAGGCAGGATGATTCTTAGCTCTGAGCAGCGTCCTTGCTAGTCTGCTTTAGAAAGGAAAGCAGATAATTACAAACAGACTCCAAGACAAGTAGTTTAGAGCCTTCACAGAGAGCATTCACACATAAAAGAACAACTGCTGAACAGCTGGCAGCCACCTAATGAGTTGTTCTTACTGCAGGACTGCCGGTCCAGAACAATGAAGGAAGCCATCTAAAAATTAAGTTTTCATAGGCCACATTTATTAATTTTTGGCCATACAGTTAAGTTAGGCATTTCTTACTCTATGTACCTCTACTTGACACTTGCAAGATTGAATAAAAAAGCCTAGAAGAGCAAAGCCCAGGGTAAAGAGAATGCCTCGGGACCCTCTTATCTGAAAGAGGGTCCAGGAAGTTCAAGGCTAAGCATCTAAAAGCAGAAATTTCTGCAGCATTAACAATCACATTAGGAATTCCACAGGAACATACCAATATAGCCTTACATGATAACAGATGTGAAGAAGTTGCATTACACACACGCAATAAACTTCAGGGTTCAACAGAAATATTAGCCGCCCCAAATTTATACCCCTTTTTCTAAAAGATAACCATATACAGGTGAGTAATTCTTACGATATCAGTCATCTGCAGAAAGTTACACATCTCAAATGCTTGAAGAATCAAAACCTTAAAAAAATTCTTTTCTTCACTTACCTAACTATAAGCTACTAGTCCAAACTTGGGAAAAAATTCACTGCTAAGCGACAAGTCAGCATGACTCAGTGATACAATAAAAGCTTTGCTTTTAATTCAGCTTCTCACTTGACTTCCATAGAAAGGAGCGGCAAATCTTGTGTCTGCCTCAAGCATCAGATCAGTATCACAGCTGCAGTTTACCTTTGATTTTCAAGGGGGAAGGGGAAGACACTATTGTGCCATAAGCAGGGAAAAACAAGCATCAGCAGAAGTTCAGTTTAACCAGAGGACAGCCACAGCAACAGCACTGCAAGCAACTATAGGAAAAAAAAAGGCTGAAGTGCCTTGGCTTCTGAGTGGTTTGTTAGGGATGAACAGAGTAGTCTATGTACTCACTAGCCCTGGGACATTAGTCAACAGCAATATAATATTAAGATTCACCCTTTTGAAAGAAAAAATACCAAATTTCACTTACCATGAGAGTCGGATCCCAATTTCTTAGAAGCCATTTAGAACCTGAAAAACATTTTAAAACAGCTTTAACAACTTTTTGTGTAAAGCACTGCATAACTCTGCGGTGCTACAGTCTTATCTCTAGATTACAGGACATGCTGCAGACATTTGCTCTACTTATCCTGTTCCTAAGTTAGATAAGCAAACTTGGAGCTCCAAGAAACTACTGAGAAGATAAATAACTCTGTTCAGGGTCAGATAACTTAAATGACCAAAGGAAAAAAAAAAAAATCAAGAACCACTCAGGTTGGTCAGGAAAGCACAGAGGGAGTTCTAAATCTCTGAGCTTAACTGCGTCCATTCCTTCCAAGCCCCGATTAAGCACCTTCTGCCTTCCCTGGAATTAAGAAAAGCCCTTCCTACTGGAAATACCACACTGATCCTGTTCAGTTTCATCTGTGTTGATCTAAAAGTGACACCATGATATTGGGTATGCAGTCAGTTAGCCAGCACTGCAGTTGTCTAGATACGCTAGACAATACACAAGTTCATACCTTTTAGGAAGATCTTAACCAAAGAGCAGAAGTTTCTTGGTACATGCAAGTGAAAACAATGCTAACAAGAGTTAACATCCATCGCCCATGAAATTTTACCAACGACCGCTTCAATCTGAGAACTCAAAGTACATACTACACGGCTAAGATGTTAAATATGTGAATGAGTGCCTACATAGCTTTTAAACACAGAGCAGGCCTGTCCTGAGAAGACAGCTGTTTTAAAAATAAAATTAGCTATAGTGTTTTAGCCGACTGATCAGCTAATACACTGCTCCAGGATTCTTCTGGCGCATTCAGTAACATAATTGCTTCTTTTGCTAGAACAGAAGTGCATTGCAAGATCTCCTTCTCAAGACACCACAGCATAATGCTTTAAAGAACTGAATTTGTAAGTCCTACTTTGACATTACACATGACCAAGAATCAGAGTTGCCCTTTGTTTCAGAAGTCCTCCAGCTGGTGGACTGAAAGGCCCAGCAGGCGTTCTTCAAAAACATGAAATTATCTGGTACACCAACATCAGCAGCACACAGGGCTCAAATCTAATTTGGAGCAGATCTAACACACATCCATCATTCCCCAAACAAGATCTTAATCTTCGTCCTCAATGTTTCAACTGAAGAGTCAACTGCAAATGTCATTTTAAAGGAGGTGTGTCAAAAGGTGACGATTATACAGACAGTTTTCTAGCTCTGATTCTTCATGTCAGCAGCTGCCATGTTTGGGGACAGGAAGAGCCAGTTTCAACTACTTTTGGCAAGCACTTTTAGTTGGGCATATGTCCCTTTCAACATTACGTTAGAATCAACAGGTGAGTCAATCCTAATGGCTCATGGGAATTCAACACACTGCGAAAGCCAAAGCTATAAAAGGAAGATTACCATGGTGCAACTAAACTTCCTGAAACACCACAAGCTGACACTAGGCTACTGGGAATGAGTCACGCCAAGCAACTCCACCATTCCTTATACATAAAAGCCTCATGCCATTTTGCTCCATGTTCATCATTTTCTTCTCAGCACGTCTGATGATCTCTCTCAACGTTGGTATTATTTCCAGAAACACACCACTAAGCCAAAGAACTGGTTTTGACACTAGCAGCTCCTCAAAAGGGAACAACTCCTTGCAGCTTCAAAGACGCAGAAAAACGAGGTCAAACACAACACTGGTGAGCGTGCCTCTCAAAGGGCACTCATGCAGACTGTCAAGGGCAAAGCCACCAGATCACCTAGTACGGTTGCATGTGAACTACCAAAGTGAATGGGCTTTACTGGTTCCAACAGCACACAGAAGGAAACTAGACTGCAGACTACTGCTGTACCTTTCAGACCTGGATTACAGCATTAAATGAGCTGTTGCTTTGCTAGTTCTTCAGTGTGAGAGTAGCAATATTAGATATCAACTTGATTTGTAGTTACTAAAAAAGCCAGGCCACATGTGACATGTGAAGACTGTATGATTCCACAAGCCCTCCATACATCACTGGAGACTGGGACAGCACTTGCAAGCATGTACTATGGCTGCCTGCCTTCCACTACTATTACAAAAGAAACAAACTAGGGGCTAGGACTGTAGGCACGTTCCCGAACTCCTCCGAATTCTTCTTTCTTCTAGTTACCACTGCAGAGTGAAAATTGCTCTTTTTAAAGGAATTTTTAAAATTCTGACAAAGGGAAGGCAAGTAACTTCCTCACCTTGGCAACCAAACTGACCGTGAAATTCTTAGTGCAGCAATGGTTACCTACAGCCGATACACACTTTACACTATCTGCCTCATTTACCAAAAGCAACTTACTCCAGACTTTAGTAACAAAGGACAACGCAAATTCAAAGACATCATTTTCAGAATGAAAATTTAATATCCCTTCTCCAGCAGGATGTAGCGAGGACAAACTATATTTACTGTCTCACACACTGATTGAGCTAAAGGAACGCTATGTTACCAAGGCAATATCAATTTTCTCCACGGACATTAAAAGCAGTACGTACATATCCTACAGAAACAGATGTGCAACTCCAGCATTCAGAGGGTTTTGCAGTAGTATACAAGTCTGGGACTGCATAAAGCCTTGGATGCGTCCTCATTGTCAAAATACAGTATCCTACATGAGCAAGAAGTATCTTGCTTTTGCTGGCAATTCTGTATTAAAATCTTAGTGGAGACCAGACGCTTGCATTAACTGCAAGGTACAGCAGGAACTATATCATTCCTCTGCCACATGCATCTTATTTTAACTACAGACCTAGCTAACACATTAATAGCAAGGTATTGTGAAAATACACTATTTCCAGAAAGAGAGTTACACTTTAAATTCCCCCAGGGGTCAAAACTGGGTCCAGTCTTGTTAACTTACTCATCAATGACCTTGAGGAAGGGACAGAGTGCACCCTCAGCAAGTTTGCTGATGATACTAAACTGGGGGGAGCGGCTGACACACCAGGTGGCTGTGCTGCCATTGGGAGGGACCTGGACAGGCTGGAGAACTGGGCGGAGAGGAACCTCATGAAGTTCAACCAAGGCAAGCGCAGGGTCCTGCACCTGGGGAGGAAGGTCCCATGCACCAGGACAGGCTGGGGGCTGACCTGCTGGAAAGCAGCTCTGCAGAGAAGGACCTGGGAGTCCTGGTTGACAACAAGGTCAACGGGAGCTAGCAATGTGCCCTTGTGGCCAAGAAGGCCAACGGGATCCTGGGGTGCATTAGGAAGGGTGTTGCCAGCAGGTCGAGGGAGGTGATCCTGCCCCTCTCCTCAGCCCTGGGGAGGCCTCACCTGGAATCCTGTGTCCAGTTCTGGGCTCCCCAGTACAAGAGAGAGATGGAGCTCCAAGAGTAAGTCCAGCAAAGGGCTGCTAAGACGATATGAGAGATGCTCCACCCTCTTCATGTGGAAAGGCTGAGAGCTGGGCCTGTTCAGCTTGGAAAAGAGAAAGCTCAGGGGGGATCTGATCAATGTGTACAGGTATCTGAAGGGAGGGTGTCAAGAGGGTGGGGCCAGCCTCTTCTCCGTGGTGCCCAGCAACAGGACGAGAGGCAACGGGCACAAACTGAAACACAGGAAGTCCAGTCTGAACCTGAGGGAAAACTTCTTTCCTGTGAAGGTGACTGAGCATTGCAACAGGTTGCCCAGAGACATTGGGGCATCTCCTTCCTTGGAGATATTCAAAACCCGTCTGGACACGATCCTGGGCAGCATGCTCTAGAGGACCCTGCTCGAGCTGGGGGTGGGGGGGTGGGGGGTTAGACTAGATGGTCTCCAGAGGTCCCTTCCAACCTCAACCATTCTCTATTTTGTGAAACGGCATTTGAGTTTGAAGCCCAATAGCTCTTCCTGATGTACTGTGAGTGCACACTTAAGGAACCATTACTCCACAAGGCATTGTCAATACACAGAAGTGTGGCGCTGCACACTAAATACTGGAACAGGCTGCCGTCTGCATTTCATCATGTCCTTTCCAAAGAGAGTTTAGTTTAAAAAAAAAAAAGTGTCTTCTGACTAATCAGATTTGATAGGCTATGCAGGGACCATTGTTAACAAGCGTCTTGCTGCTGACCTACCTGCTGCTCGGAAAAAAGAAAATCTGCAGCCAGTCAAGAGACTTAAGACTACTGATATGGCTACTATATTTCTGGGCCTGAGCCTATTTGCTCAGTCAGACCTGCTATAATGCACAATATGGGTGTACCTCTGTTATTGCTCTTTTGGAAACAAAGGACTTGCTCCCAAAGCCTTGCTCAAAATCAGCTAATGAATTAGCTAATGAAACGAACAAGTGCCTTATTGCTGTTGCCTGTGATCTCCAGACTTGAGAATAGGATGCTGAAGGGAAAGA